TAGCCACAAGATTACCATTTGAGTCTAACAGGGGCCCTACATTACCTGGTGCCTGCTTCTTACTCCCAATGTATTTGAAGGACTTTTTGTTATCCTTAATCCTGGTCGCTAGCCTGAGCTCCACCCCCGCCTTGGCCTTCCTAATGGCCCTCCTACACTCACGGGCCAGGGAGGAGTATTCCTCTTTGGTGATAGCCCCTCTCTTCCAGCAGGTGTATGCCTCCCTTTTGGCCCTCAGGCATTCTTGAATGCCTTTGCTGAGCCATGGGGGTTTCAGAGCACTCTAACCCCCCTTCTTTCTCTCAGGGACTGTCACACTCTGAGCCTGGAGGATCGTTCCCTTAAGGTATGAGCATCCCTCATGGATTCCCATCTCCTCTACCTTTTGGGCCCTCAGTGTCTCCTCCACTGATCTCCTAAATTCATTGAAGTTAGCCCTTCTGAAGTCAGGGGCTTTAGTCTTGGTATAAGCCCTCAACATCCTGAGCTGGGTGGTGAATTCCAGCAGGCAATGATCACTGGTACCCAGCTGGTCAAGCACCTGCAGTCCCCTCACCAGGTCATCCCCAGTGGCCAAGACCAGGTCCAGAAAGGCATCTCCCGTAGTGGGGCTGTGCACCTCCTGGATAAGGTGGAGGTCTTGTATTTCAGCTAAGAACCTACGCAAGCGGTCAGACCTGGCTAACTGCTCCTCCCAGCAGATATCTGGTAAGTTTAGGTCCCCCATGACAACGACATCCCTAGACCCAACTGCCTCCATAAGCTGTACTGAGAAATCCTGGTTCAACTCAACCCCTTGGCAGGGTGGTCTATAGTAGACACCCACCGTAAGATACTTGCTGCCTTTCCCCCCTTGAAGTTTGACCCATAGTGCCTCTGTCTGACCTTCCTCCGCCCCAAGACTAATTCTTGACAATGTGAGTTGCTCTTTAACTCAGATTGCTCTTTGACATTCTTTTCTATCTTCTTTATCTTAAAATGGAGGCAGATACCATCCAGCAGGTAGAAAATCGGCCTGGTAGTGAAGAAACCTGGCTTTAAATCCTGGCTTAACCACTGGCCAAGTGTGAGATCTCAGGCAAGTTACTTCAGCTGCTTTTCCTAGCTGCAAAACTGGAATTATAGGGCATCTATATACATGCTCAGGGAGGGAGGCACTTTAATTAGAGCAGCTCCAAGAATCACTCCAATTAGCGTCATGTATGTTCAGTGTTCTGCACTTTAAAATGGTGGCAGCAGCACTTGTCAATTAATTGAGTCTACTCCAACGTATGCTAATAAGCATGCGTCAGAGCAGATGTTTGGCATGTGTATCAGTGCTCAATGATACTTAACCTCCTGAGTACGTGGCTGAAAATCACACACACATGTATAAAAATATATATTTTAAGAGCTAAGTTGTAGTATTCATGGAAAGCTGGTTCTTGTGGAGTAACCTTCTACCCATTTACAAGGCTTAATTTCCCCTGCCCCCTAGGTCAACCAGTTAATGCAACTTTTTTTTTCCCTCCAAACAGTTCTGATTTTTAGGAGTAACTAGCTAAAATGGCATATAAATAGCCTAAGCAAGTGCTATATGAGAGTCACTGGCTATGGGCTAGGTTCTTCAGAATAGTGTACCTGATACACCCAATTACTGTGTGGTTATCCCAGACAACCTGTCAGTGGTACATGTTAACCGATTTATTATAATTACACTTTATTTGACAAAAACTTGCTGGTGGTACTTAAGGTTGCGTCATTTTAAATTGGTGGTGCGCAATCTGTCAGAGTTTGGGGACTGCTGCCATCGGTCTTTGCCATGGCACAGGCAGGGTGTCCAGTTCCAAATCCAGTACATTCAGAAGGTGACAAAAATAACAAAAGTTGGCAACATTATAATTGTATGATATCTTCATTAATGATGTGGACATTGGAGTCAGAAGTGGACTGGCCAAGTTCGCTGATGACACCAAACTTTGGGGCAAAGCATCCACACCAGAAGACAGGAGGGCGATCCAGGCTGACCTGGACAGACTCAGCAAATGGGTGGACAAGAACCTGATGGTGTTTAACACTGAAAAATGCAAGGTTCTCCACCTTGGGAGGAAAAACCTGCAGCATCCTTATAGTCTCAGCCGTGCTACACTGACTAGCACTACGGAAGAAAGAGACTTGGGGGTCATCATTGACCACAAGATGAACACAAGCCTGCAATGCAATGCTGTAGCTAGTAAAGTGACCAAAACGCTGGCTTGCATCCATAGATGCTTCTCAAACAAATCCAGGGACGTCATTCTCCCCTTGTACTCGGCCTTAGTGAGGCCGCAGCTGGAGTACTGTGTCCAGTTTTGGGCTCCACAATTCAAAAAGGATGTGGAGAAGCTTGAGAGAGTCCAGAGAAGAGCCACACGCATGATCAGAGGTCAGGGAAGCAGACCCTACGATGACAGGCTGAGAGCCCTGGGGCTCTTTAGCTTGGAAAAGCACAGGCTCAGGGGTGATCTGATGGCCACCTATAAGTTTATCAGGGGTGACCACCGGTATCTGGGGGAACGTTTGTTCACCAGAGCGCCCCAAGGGATGATGACTAGGTCGAATGGTCATAAACTACTGCAAGACCGTTTCAGGCTGGACATAAGGAAGAATTTCTTTACTGTCCGAGCCCCCGAGGTCTGGAACAGCCTGCCGTCGGAGGTGGTTCAAGCACCTACATTGAACACCTTCAAGAGTAAATTGGATACTTATTTTGCTGGGATCCTATGACCCCAGCTGACTTCCTGCCCTTTGGGTGGGGGACTGGACTCGATGATCTTCCGAGGTCCCTTTCAGCCCTAATGTCTATGAAATCTATGAAATCCCTGCTCCCAGAGAGAGGTGATTAGGAAAGAGAGCTCAATAAGTGTTTAACTACATACACCAATACAGGCTAGGGACTGACTGGCTACATAGCAGCTCTGCAGAAAAGGACCTGGGGGCTACAGGGGACAATAAGCTGAATATGAGCCAACAGTCTGCCCTTTTTGCAAAAAGGCTAATGGCATACCCGGGTGTATTGGTAGAAATGTTGCCAGCAGATCAAGGGACGTGATTATTTCCTCCTATTCAGCACTGGTGAGGCCACATCTGGAGTACTATGTCCAGTTTTGGACCCCCCCACTACAGAAAGGATGTGGACAAATTGGAGACAGTCCAGCGGAGGGCAAGGAAAACGGTTTGGGGGCTGGGGGGGCATGACTTCTGAGGAAAGGCTGATGGAACTGTGCGTATTTAGCCTGGAGAAGAGAAGGCTGAGAGGGGATTTAACAGCGGCCTTCAACTACCTGAAGTGGGTTCCAAAGAGAATGGAGCTAGACTGTTCTCAGTGGTGGCAGATGACAGAACAAGGAGCAGTGGTCCGAACTTGCAGCAAGGGAAGTTTAGGTTAGATATTAGGAAAAAACTCTCTCACTATTAGAGTAGTAAAACACTGGAACAAGTTACACAGAGAGGTGGTGGAATCTCCATCCTTAAAGTTTTTAAGTTCTGGCTAGACAAAGCCTTGGTTGGGATGAACTAGTTGGGGATGGTCCTGCTTTGAGCAAGGGGTTGGACTAGATGACCTGCTGAAGTCCCTTCCAACCCTAATTTTCTATGATTCTATGAACTCTCAGGATTTTTAATTGAGACTTGTTTTAGTTTTTGAAGCATACCATATGACTTTTTAATTTTTTTTGGTTGGCAGTCTGGACTCACGATCATAGTGACTACGTGCTTTTTTGGTTAATAGTTATTCAAGTATTTTTGTACTTTTATGTACAAAATTTTTATATCGTCTTTCTCAGACACTCAGTAGTTTATCTTTGGCACATACTACAAAACACTCTCCCTGGTCCAAGATCCAAGGTTTTTTTTCCACTAGTCAGTATTAGTGCAGGAGTAGCCTTTTCCAGTTCATTCTTCAGCTGTGAGCCTTTCTTGCACCCAGAAACATTTAGACCTGCATATTTGGTTGAGCTAAACCATATTGGATTCGTTTCCTTTTGGCTGCTAATTCTCTAGCATATGACAAATCTTCTTTGATCCCCTAGCAATGCTTTGTATTTAAGGTTGGAACAGCTTTGGATGCACAAGGAATGAAATCTCTGTCCATTCTCAGACATTCTTTTCCGCTCTTCTTTAGTGTGTGGGTTTCAGGTAGAACATGGTAGAAGACTATCAAATGATTATCAAATTTCACTCAAAGCAAGCAAGTCTTCTATGGGGTTTGAAGATGTTCTTCTAAGGTCTGCCTTCACTCTTTTTGGGGATGGTGATTGTTTAGCCTTCCACTTTTGTGAAGTGGAAGTGTGGTCAAAAACTTGTCAACTATAGTATTTTCTGACTGAGCCAGGAAGCAAAGTCAGTGTGTTGAGAGCTGCAGACCACACCTGTACACCCAGCACATCCAGAAAGGTTTCCAAGTGTGGCAGAAATGCCACCGTCGGTGCCCCTCTCCAGAGATCTGTCTCCACCAGCCTGAGAGGCTGGTGTTGAATCCCTCAGGGCGGGGATCTCCCACCTTGTCTACATGACAAAAGCCTGGTGCCTGAATGCTCTGGTCACCTGGGCAGGGGGGAAAAGCCCGCCCCTGCGCACAGGCCCAGGTAGCCAGGGATGCTTTGGTAGATTGGTTGGCCTGTGGCCAGTATTGGCAGCTTCGATTGGACCGGGCTGCTGAGGTCAGAGAGGGGATAAAAAAGGCCCGGGCCAGGAAGAAGGTAGCCATGAGCCATGTGGTCATACAGGTGAATCTGAAACTGGCTCTCTCTTCATAACCGCATGCTCCAAGAGTGACCTGCCTCCAGAGGAAAACTCCAACCACCTCTGGACGATGCGTGTGAGTAAGCTACTCGAGATCCGATTAGATATTTAGCTTACAGTAATTCAGATGCATGTTTAAACGGCTACCTCAGCCATTCTAGTTTGCTCTGTGGGATTCCTCTGATCTTCCTCTGATATTTCCATGATATTGCTCTACCTTTTACCCTGTTTCCACCCTACCCCCTGTAATCAATAAAGTTCTCCTTTGTGACCGGTGTGGGAGACTTATTGAGGGGTGGGTCTAAATTATGCCGAGGAGGCCCCTTAGGTCCGTGGACTAAGGGAGACTTTCCTAATAAGCCCCTAACTTGGGGAAGTGCCCCAAGTGCCTGGATTGGGTCTAGTTCCCATTGGACGATCAGGCCTGTGTTCTCCAAGGTGCGCAGAGCCAGGATTGAGTCCAGAGCCTTGGATGGTGGCAGCGGGACCCCCAGGCTAGCGGGTGTGCTCCCGGGAAGGGGGTGGCCGGACGGGAGGCACCCCAAGGGAGGCACTCGGAGCCTGGAAGGTGGTCGGGCGCAGGGAGGTGGGCGGCTCACGCAGGAGCGCCCCCTACTGGCTCGCCACACCAAGTTTTTTGGTGCTTTACCCAATGCCAGTTGAACTTGTTAATGGTCTCCCAAGGTTCAACAGTTGTTGGTCATAGCTGTGGTAATTTGGCATGAACAGCTCATCTGCTTTTTAGCCAAATTCACTTATTTGAAACACTGCTGATGTGTGTTTTTGCTTCAGTATTTCCATTTGCAATTCTAGCTTCTCAATTGATCAAGAGTGTGGGTGTGTTGATGGAGTGATTAGAGGAGAAATGACAGCCCTCATGTCATTGGGAGACCTTAGAAGAATGTTTAACTGTTTAACAGAATACACCCAGTCCTTTAATTTCTGAAAACTCTCTTTTTAGTACAGAAACCAGAGAACTGTGCGCTCTTGCAGCATTTCAATTTTTATTTGTTGTCTATCTAAAGACAGAGGAGAAAAAAAATGAAGTAGGGGGGAGGAGAAGTAAGAGTTACCATAGAAACCGGAACAAGTGCAAGAGCTTTTTATACGTAGTTCTACTGTTGTGCTAAGGTCTAAGTGTGGAAGAGGAAATAAAATGGAAAATCACTAAGTTTATTGGTAATGAAGACTCTCATGTAAATTAGCATGAAAAGCCAAAATGCAACCCTTAATTTAATGATCTGCCAGTGACAAGAGGGCTCTGGTTTTCCTCTTTTTGCTAGAGCAAATATTTCTTTGATTTAATGTCTCATCTCTGGTAGTTCTCCACTTACTATGTTGTAAGCACAATATAGTGTTGCAATGCCAGTAGTACCTGCCAGTTGTTCACATAAAAAAAGGCTGCAGAGAATGCAACTGGAACTATGAAAGACAACCTGCCAACAAATGCCTGGAGTCAACCTGAAGCCCACATTGTGTCAGAAGAGATCATGAAAAGTGGAAAGAAAAGGCTGCTGACAGGAAGACACAACAAAACAGCAGGATATGGAGTAAAAAAAATGCAACTTTCTTGCCTGTCCATTTGCTTTTATGCTTAAGGGAAATTCACAGCTTCCCAGATACACTCACCAGTTTAGTGTAAGACAAAGCAGCTTGCAATGATATTTAAGATTTTACCTAATGCTTTAATTAGCACATGCACTCTCACCTAGAGCTCTGACATACTTGAAATTTTACATTCATTACAGTTAATGGACAAAAAGCAGTGAAATTCCTTACAGTAAACATTAACTGGCAGCCCCCAAGGATGTAGTCCAGGAAAGAGTAATCTCTGGTTATCTGAACGGAGAAAAAAAGAGAGAGAGGCTTTTAAAGAAACATTCAGCTCCCTTCATCCCTCCCAGAAATCCTGGGAGGTTCATAAAAAAAAAGTTACAAATACTTCCAGCAGCAGACAACATGCCTTCTGGTTTCCAAATCTCTTCGGGTCACAGAGCAAAGTGACGAATGTGGAGAAGTGCCTGGATTTCCCCTCAACAACCTTGAAGCATTTTTAATTAAACACATGCTGCATTGCTGAAGGGAGTTCAGGCATTAGTTGTATCAGCCAAGATGGTGGCTGTCACACCAAGGATCAAACTGGATAGATCTGGAAACACCATGAAATCAAAGAGCTCTCTGGCTGGTACTGTATCAGACCTATGTCCTTCACAGGTCAGACATGGAGGGCACTCTTATACGTGCCCACCAAGTGCCTACATCAGAAAGTGCCCTTGTCAGAAAGAAGGGTCAAGAGACCAGGAAAGCAAAAAAGCAGCAGAGCAGCTTTCCATTCCCATTGCCTCAACAGCATGCCACAATCCTTGTCTAGAGGAACAAAAGAAGAAGTCAGTTTGCATGGCCCGTTTGGACACTGGCTTCTTGCTATAATTGCAAAATGTCCAAATTGTGATTTTTTCACGGCAATGTGGCTCTGTGTCCATTAGGAATTGGACTTACTCCAGCAGCTTGTTTTAACATGTTGTCCAAGACCATTGCTTGGAAGCATCTAATGGGCCTGAAAGCATTTAGCCTGGTCTCTAGTTCCAGTGGTTTCTGAGGGAATGGAAGTCATCTTGAGGACTGTCCCATTTTCTTCTCTAGTATAGTCCTGGGTATGACTGTAAACTGCATCTGACTGGAGGGCCTGGTGGCAATGTGGTATGGTATGGCATGGCAGGATAATTCCTATAAAATACCACAATGTTGCAACCTCCAGAATAAGGCAAGTATAGGACACCTCAAAACCCTAACCCCACTGCCTTGTGGGTAACTCCTTTGTTGGAGAAAGGCTAAGGGACATCATCGTGACAGAAACAAATGCTCGCTGAGGCATTAGGCAGTCAGCAGCAATTCTTATCTGTTGCTCTCTGGCAGAAGCTACAACCATCAAGGCACTGAATGTCTGGACTTGATCTGGCCTTTGCATTCTGTCTCAATGGTCTAAAAAGGGGGTGGTAGGTCTTGGGCAGCCTCCACTCCTCCAGATTCTTGCTTTGGTGTATGCATCAAAGATCTTGGAGTGATGGTCACAGGACTCCACACAAGAGGATTCATCAGGCACCTGACTAGTCCTCTCATATGTACACCATGATCCAGAGGATTGATGGTTGCCTAGAACACCATTTTAATAGTCAGCATCTCTCAAACAGCAGAAGTAAAAGATTTCAATTTTCTACAGGTTTGAAATCTGGAATCCCAGCCTGCCAGATGGTGAAGAAGGATTCCATCTACTTCTAGCACTGTGAGACAGCAGATCCTGGAGTCATGCAGGAACTCAGATGTGTTCAAGGCAGAAAAGTGAAGAAGACAAACAGCAATTGGGAGTGTGTGACTGCTTGAATTCATTCCTCATGAGCCACTAAGGCTAGGGCCTTAGTGGATGTACACTTGCTAGCCAAGTTGCGAGATATACCGGACCTTAAAAAGTCCCTGGCTTCTCTGACCTGGCAATGAATGTTAGGTACTAAGCGAAAATTATAGCTGGCAATACACTGAAATTAAAAGTGTGGTACCCTTAAACTACCATGGCAAGGGGCCAATGAAAGTGAAGTCATCCAGTTACCACAACCTCTTCTAAGATCCTTCGAAAATCTTAGCAGATCTTTACACCTTTTACATAAGATGAGTACTTTGAAAGGCGTTCTGACCGTGTCCAATGCACTCTCTTTTAAATAAATAGATTCAGTTCACTGAAACTGACGTTCTTAAAAATGAACTGCATGCTGGACCAAATAGGAGAAAAAATATTTTATGCTTGGACCTGGTAACAGGCCAAGTAAGACAGAAAGAGCTAGCAGTCCTTTTTAACTATGGGACATGGAAACAGATATGCACATCCTGTTATGTTTTTAGTACTGGGAGCTAACAGATGCACTTTGCCTTTCCTTTGAGTTAAGGGAATTCAGGCAAAAGGTCAGATGGGATGTTCATCTCAGTTTGTACAAAGAAGTGTGTTACTTAGGTTATCTGATGTAGAATATGCTGTAGTACTGGAGAATTATGTAGTAAGGATTGGTTTTGTACTTCAAAGTACTATTCTAATGAGGTATAAAATACACACATTTAGTTACTGGCTCCTACCCTGGGGGTCTTTAAGAAGAGGCTTGATGCCTACCTGACTGGGGTCAATTGAGCCCAGTTTTCCTCCTGCCCAGGCAGGGGGTTGGACTCGAAGATCTACAAGGTCCCTTCTGACCCTACTTCTATGATTCTATGAAAACTGAGTCTGACAAGTCCCAGACGTACAACCTGAGAAGTGGAAGATCTTCTTGTACTCATCATGGCAGAGTGCTGGCTTTCTCCACTCAACTCTTATGAAGATGCAAGTATTGTGTGTTATCTGTAGCCTTCCAGAGTCTATTGAACACATTCTAAAATAATTCACAGCCGCCCCAGTAATTGCAGTCAAAGAGCTAACTGCCAGCCTCCACATCCCCTTCCTAACAGCCTGTTAATCATCTGTATTTGTGACAAGTCCAACAGCTTTAGACAGCTGTTAAAAAGAACAGAGACCTCTGGCTCAATCACAGGAAGGTTACTACCATAAAGCAGCAGGGAAGGACTGTTCTCACTTGCCACCAGGTACAGGAGACTATTGGGAGAAGACAGGACAGCAAGTACAGTCATATGTGTGTGTGACATCCTCCCTTAACCCATGGCCTCCATGCCCCCCAATTCTGTAGAATCACTGGTGCTCCAAAGATGCAGCATTACATGAGTAAGTCAGACACAGTGCACTTATCCCATTTATGTCTTGCTAGGGACACAAGTTTCTCTTCACTATTGAATTTGTATTCAGAGATCTATGTGACAGCATTTACTTTCCTATTGGGATTTTGGTCTTGAACTTATCCAATAATCTAAACCCCTGCCCCTCCAAAAAAAATAACTTTAAAAGAGGGATAAAAACATTTAAACTCACTCTGCAGGATTTCACAATAATACTACCAGAGTTCTTGTAGTTCTTTTTCTTCTTTTGCTTCTTGGGATTAATGCATTCTAGTTCTAGCTGTAACAAACAAGAAAGATAACAGCATGAAAGCAAAGTTCTCTGCAAGGGTTTGGCCATCAACATAGCATAATTTAACAACCTGGGACTCAGATATGAAGATCTTTTACCTCTAGTACCTGTCAGCTACTTTCCCAACATAAGCCAGTTGATGGAATAAACAACATTCTTTTTCAAATGAATAAACAAAGAGCACTCACAAAGGAAGGGAAGCCTGATTTCCATTTTAGGATGAGAAAACTGATGGTGCAGAGCAGTTAATGGTTTGCTTTGCAAAGGTCAATGGTAGTAAAACCAAGGTCTCTTCCAAGCTACTAGTCATTTGGATCTATCCATCCACTACAGGACATCCCAACATGGACCTATTACGGGGCTCTGGATCTCATGCCTGACTCAATTCTATGTACACACCATCCATTGTAACAAATACCTCTCCTAGCTCACCAGCTGAGCATGGAGTTTTTATTATTATTAATTCATTGTACTTGTCTGAACAGGGACCTATGATTCACCCACCATGATAGTTCAATTTAGGCACCTAAAGGAGTGGGCAGATTTTGAAAATAACTCAGCGCATCTGGCTTTGAAGACTTGGCCCTAGCTATGATACCTCAATAAGAGCTGAAGTTGCCCAACTTTGGGAACCAAGTCCCTGAAAATCCAGCCCAGTCATGCCCTGGTGTGCACAAGGTCATTTACCTGAAAAATCTTCTCAATACAGGGCAGGCCTGATCCCTGAGGCAAACAGACAGGCATGACACTGGGTAAGGAGATTAGTGAGAGCTCTCCAGCAAGAAGACAGGGTCTGAACACAGCAGTGGTGACAAACAGGTGGCGTGGGAGTGCTGTCGTGTATACAGATAAAAGGAGGAGAGACAGGCATTCTGCTCACAGCTTTGGCTCCCAGGGTCTGAAAAGAAGAGACTGCTGGGGCTATTTACAGCGGGCAGCTGTATTTAGAAGTGCTGGGTATTAGACAGAGATGAAAGTAGAAACAGATGAGTTTAGCAAATTTCAAGTGGTGGGAAGGCACAGGCTGATTATTCACTGGGTAAACAAATGTTTGTACTGGTTTTATTTTTAAACCATTATGGGGGAAAATCCCAGCTACCACCTTTCCGTGGAAAACGTCCCACTCACTTATGCAGTAAAGGGTGTGCTATACACAGAAACTTTCGGAAAAGAGTAAGTTCTGAGCACCTAAAAGTGGTGGCCACTGTTGCACTTTTTGAAACAGGCAGAAGGTAGGGCAGGGTGGGACCTTAGGGCACTTACAAACGTGCCCAATGTCTGCTCTTAATTAATCGAGTCTGTTGGAGTGTGCTAATTAGCATGGTCCAAAAGCCTCGGTGTCTCGTGTATTCAGCTCATCAAACAAGCTCTAGTTAAAGAGCCCCTGCTACCATTTTGAAGAGCAGGGATGCTGAACACACAAGACACTGCAAGCGCTTTAATTAGAGTGGCTCTCAGGATCTGATCTAATTAAGGTCCCCGCCACCCACCCCAGAGCACGTGTAAAGACACCCTTAAAAACTAACTGGTTCAGAGAGGCATTTCACAAAGCAGGTTGCTGCTTACGACAGCATATGTCTGCGTGGACCAGTTAGTCTCTATGGTGCCACCCTGTTCTACCTTCTTCCTGACTTCAGGATAACATGGGTAATCACCTCTCTGTTTCTGGAACAGTAATTCTTACCAGTAGCATCATCATAGTCCCTAGAAGACAAGGCCAGGACATAATTCTTCGAAGTGTTGTGTGTACATCTAAGGAAGTGCTATCCTTGCCCTAAGTACCCTAGCACTGACATGGACAAAGGATAGGAGTCCTGTTGCCCAAACTGTACAGACAGAATTCAGAGGCATGGAGAGATTAAGTGACTTGGCTCAAGCTCAGAGATGAGGCAAGAGCCGAACTGTGATCTCTTGAGGCCAAACCTTAATTATAAAACCACCCTTCACTGCTGCAGGATAATCGCCTACACCAGTGTTTCCCAACCTTTTCCAGTCCAAGGCACACTTACATTAATAAAAAATTTCTGTGGCACACCTGTTAAGGCATTTCCCATCCTCATACCTATTGTAGCTCATTGCCATGACAAAATTCTACAGCACACCTGTTCATTTCTGACCTGTTCACTTTTGTGCCATGGCATACAGGTTCAGAAACACTGACCTACACACCATCGAGGAAGACTTTAGAGATGCCCAAAGGGAAAGTGGCAGGTTAAAGTGAGGTGACTACTGTTATGGATCAATACCCCTTTTCAAGGAGAAGTTCTACCTCAGGACTCCCCAAGAAGCAGCCTTATTTTGGTCTCCCTCCTCCCTAGAACTTTTCTGTGAAACCCTGACATGGCTTCATAAGGGGCAAGCCTCTGGCTTTGAGACTCTGTCTCTTCTCTGTCCTTGGCTTCCCTGCCCATTAATAGCACTACCACCTTGGAGAGCTTCTTTGATCAGCTCCTAGGAAGTGGGGTGGGGGGTAATGTTTTCTTCTTGAAAGGGGGGAGGGAGGGGGAGATTAGAGTGCTAATGTCCCAAACAGCACAACAGACTGCCAAGCTCCAAACAGACTTTATTGTGCCACAGCAGTTCTCCTTGCCCTTCCTCAAACTGCACTCTGTCCTCACTGGGACTACTACTTTCTCTTCTCCATCCACCTTGGGGCTACCCTTTTCTCTCCCAAGCTTTCTCTTCAGGCACAGGTAGCCACACTCACAGCAAAACTGTTACAAAACTATAGAATTAACCCCAGGACTAACATTCACCCAATCAAATTAAATGTCAGAGTTGATCAAGGGAACAGTCTCTCCAGCCTAATGCCAGGCTCAGACTGTCATCTCCCCCTGGGCTGGAGAGGGCATCTAGATATCCTACTTGTGAAACTATTTACAGCAGCTATTTACATTAATACATGCTCACATTAAGCTCCCCCCAGATTGTTCCCCACCAGCACTGCAGGCTAGAACTCAGCCTACTTAGCCTCTTGCATCAAAGCCATAAAAAAGGGTCTGTTTCATGGAGAATGACTGACCAAAGAAGGGAAGGAGGGACAGAATAGGCCCACAGGGAAGGAAATGTTAACAGGCAATGTTCCAGACAGCCAGTAAATTACATTAAGTCACTTCCCATTGCATTTGGCTGCCTGTAGTTTGCAGCTCTCAGTTTTTATAAATAAAAATATATTTGACCAAGTATTCCAGGCATTTGTGTCCCCCAAAGTAGGTCAGGCACCAACGCATTCAATGGAAAAAACAATCCCGGGTAGGAAACAAGTTACTCAGTAGTTTCTAGTTATTTTAACAAGGGATAATAATAAAAGCTGCTAGTATAACTGGAGCACAGAGGAAAAGTCAGGAGATTCAGTTGTGCAAGAGACCTTAGTGTTTGAAAGAAAGGGCACTGAATTACAGCAGGCAGGCTTAGTCATAAAAACCCTCTGGAAGTTAACAAAGAGTCATGGTGAGTTTCCTCCACACTGTGCTAGGGACAATTTAGCTCTTTGTGGAAGTTCATTTGTCTTACGGCACAATGTACATTGCCAGGCGCTCCCATGAACAGTACCAATTAGGGCTACACTGTCCCAACCAGCGAGGGCCTAAGTCCTCCCTCTGGAACATTGACACTTTGGGGGGGGTGCTATAGGAAAAACCAACACTAAAAGAACCAGCCCATGTGCTCTCAAGGGATTACAAGCTTATTGTGTGCCAGGGACCATGTATGTCTTCCTGCAACTGTGCATACACAGCCCCTCACACAGCAAAGTCCCAAGCTACCAGGGAATACTGTAACCCAAGCATCAACACTAACCCACCACTCTGATCACAAAAGCAGCCTCTACTAGATGATCTGCACACACAGCTGATCTGCCAGGCCACTTTAGGGAGCTATTGTACAAAAAGGAAAAAGGAAGGAGACAACATCTTACTTTAGGGGCTGCCTCTCAAACTGAACTCAACCTGCCAGGTTCTCAAACAAATGGCAACTCATGCAGCTACTTCACAGGAGCTTCTAGGACAGGGGTCGGCAACCCCTGGCACGAGCATGACATGCAAGGCCATTTTGCTCGGCATGCCACGGGCAGCCCCGGCTCTGGGTAGCTGCTGCCAGCCGGGAGCCCAGGCTGCTCCTAGCAGGGCTTGCAGTGTCCCAGCTGCCTGTTGGGAATAGCCCAGGCTCCCAGGTGGCAGCAGCTACCCAGAGCCAGGGCCAGCTGCAGCCAGGAGGCTCCAAACAGCTGTGCTGGGCTCCGGCATCAGCTCCATACTGGCGCGTGCACCCAGGCCTCAGAGCAGGTGGTGGGAGGGGCCTGAGGTAGCGCAGCTCCGGTCTCTCCCCTGCTCCTGGCACAGAGGTGATAGCAGGGTTCCGGAGCCCGGCACAGCTGTTTGTAGCCTGCCTGGGCTCTGGGCAGCTGCAGCAAGCATCAGGAAGGCTGCAAACAGCTGCCCTGAGCTCCACAGCCTTGGCATCAGCTCCATGCTGGCAGCAACTGCATGGGCACGTCAGGGCAGGCTGCACTGCCCCGCTGTCGCTTCAAGGTGCGCACACAGTCACCGCCAGCATGGTGCTGATGCCGGAGCTGTGGAGCCTGGCATAGCTGCTTGCAGCCTGCCCACTGCTTGCTGCAGCTGCCCAGAGCCCGGGCTGGCTACAAACCGCTGCACCAGGCTCCAGAAC